CTTAATTATAGCAATCCATGGTAAAGCAGAGAAGCGAAATCAGGCTTCTTGATTTTTGGAGATATTCTTATCCATGAAATCACATGCCATCTTCGCATCCGCGTTCCTTATTTGGATATGCGACACAAATCGAAGTCCATTGCCACAGATGCAGTAGGTATCAGCCTTGCTGTCCAGGTGTCTACTGCCTGAGCACTTTGGGGGTTTCCCTTACTTATAGATAAATCTCCTATGGATCATCCCACTTCCTTGCTTGTTACTCAGGGACGGCCCCACGCACTAAGTCTTTAATAGCTTCCAAACAACTCAGAAAGCAGTAGTAAGGCCAATTATGGCTGACGGACCCAGTCTCGTAAAAGCTTTAGTCTGTAAATAGCAAAACGGAGACTTTATCAATGGTTTCACAGCTACAGTTTTTTTTAAAAGATTTATTTTATTTATTTGAAAGGCAGAGTTCCAGAGAAAGTTCCAGAGAGTTCCAGAGAGAGACAGGTCTTCCATCATTGCTGGTTCACTCCTTGGATAGCCGAAATGGCTGCAGCTCGGCCAGGCTGAAGCCAGGAGCTGCTTTGGGGGTCTCCCATATGGCTAAAGGGGGCCCAAGCACTTGGGCCATCCTCCACTGCTTTCCTAGGCAATTAGCAGGGAGCTGGATTAGAAGTGGAGCAGCTGGGACTCGAATAGGCACCCACATGGGATGCTGGCATTGCAGGCTGTGGCTTAACCCACTATGCCACAATACTGGCGACAGCTACAATGGTTTTTGATCACAGGTAAAAGAGCTGACCATGATGAACAAACCTCTAGGGAAGGATGGTGGCAAGGGGTTCATGAGGAGGTGAAGAAATCTTTGGTGAGATTATCAAGTCTGCTGTCAGCTTATACTTCCTCAACTGGTGACTGCAGGGGCCACGCACCTTAACCAATACTGGGTCATTTTTAATTTACAAAATGAAAGCTGAAAATGGTACTCAATTGCTGCTTTTAGTCATTTTTGACTAATTATGAGTCTGAACTACCTTTTAAATATTTATTTGCTGCTTGTCATTCCTTTCATTGAGTACCTGCTACAGTCTACTATTTTAGGTGCCATAAGACAGCTAACACTGCTTTGCCACAAGACCCAATAAAAATATCTTCACAATAAATGTAAAAAAAAAAGAAGCTAAAATACCATTTCAGGTAGTGTGAACTACTATAAAAAAGACAAAAAACAAAGACAATAACAAAGCAAAGTGACAGAAAGGGGTCTGTTGTTTCAGACACAGTAGTCACAGCATGGAGACAGACAGTCATTAGACAGGCTGGGTGAAGAGAGTGCCATGTGGATTCTTTGGGAAGAATATTTCAGGCACAGGGAAGGGTATGCACGAAGCTCCTGAAGGGGCCCCACTCCTGTGCTGGGAGAACAGTGAACTGGCCAGGACAGCCAGAGCTGGAAGACAACTGGGAAAGTGCCGGTCACAGGTGAAGCCGGAGCGATGATGGGGCCAGAGCACGCAGGGCCTGCCGGGCGGGCTATCGTCAAGGCTATGGATCTTGCCCAAGTGTTTTGGGAAGCTTTTGAAAGGTGATGTAATGGCTTATGTCAATCAGGCTGCCATGTGGAAAATGGTCTCTAGGGAGGAGAGGAGCCTGGTTAGGACACCGGTAGTGAGAGGAGCAACGATAAAAGATTAACTTGGTTTTAGCAGCACAGAGAGAGAAAAGTAATTTGCTTCAGGATATTCTGAAGAGGATTTTGCTGATGGACTTATGTAATGTGGGAGAAAAAGAAGGTCAAAGACAATTCTAATGCAACTAGGAAGTACTACCTACTGTGATGGAGAAATATGGAGGGAAAAACAGGACTTTGGATATGGTCATAAAAGCAAGAGTCTCTTTTGGAAAGTATTTAGTTCAAAATGTATGGGGCATTCAAGAGGAAATACGGAGCAACGAGGGGAATCTGATTCTGGAGTTTAAGGGAAGAGATTAAAAAAGAATGGAAGACGGAAACCAAGGACCCTGTAGCCACAAATGGTATGAAAACTCAAGAAGCAGGCTGATTCTCTAGGGAATGCACGGTTAGAGAAGAAGAAATACCTGGGGGATATTCCAACACTTAGAGGAGGAGGAGGAGGATCCAACAGCCCATGACATGAGATGGAGTGGCCCGAGGCAGGTCTCCTGTTCTTAGGGAACTGCACACATTCTCTACAATGACCTTGGACTTTGTCAGTAACATCCACTACATGTTTTCCTAACTTTCTAACTGCCCTTTGAGCCAGATTATTTGTGACTTATCTACTTAAAAATATCTGTTGCATAGTAAAATCCATCAGTTGTTCCCTTTGTGATTTCTTCGGTTACTTTTAGTGAGTAACCGCTGGTCAGGAGAGCGCTTGTATTTTTTTCTGTTTGCGTTTTTGAGTGTACTTTGGAATTTATTTTGGTGTGTGGTAAGGCTGTAAGCTGATAGCTTTTCTTTTATTTTTTATTTATTTTTATTTTTATTTTATTTTTTTTGACAGGCAGAGTGGACAGTGAGAGAGACAGAGAGAAAGGTCTTCTTTTGCCGTTGGTTCACCCTCCAATGGCTGCTGCTGCTGGTGTGCTGCGCTGATCCGAAGGCAGGAGCCAGGTGCTTCTCCTGGTCTCCCATGGGGTGCAGGGCCCAAACACTTGGGCCATCCTCCACTGCACTCCCGGGCCACAGCAGAGAGCTGGCCTGGAAAAGGGGCAACCGGGACAGAATCCGCGCCCTCACCGGGACTAGAACCCGGTGCGCTGGCTCCACAAGGTGGAGGATTAGCCTAGTGAGCTGCGGCGCCGGCCAAAATGGCAGCTGATAGCTTTTCAAAGATTTGCTAATTTTCCCAACACCACCTATCCTTTTGCTCACTGGGTTGCAATGTCTTCTACCACACACATTACATTTCACTTGGTTCAATTTCAATTTTAAGCTTTGAAATTGCAAGAGATGATGAAAAGCCTTCCTTCCAATCATTAAATGAAATCTTATGTAAGAATCCCAATGTGCTTACACGGAAATACGTGAAACAGTGCCAACATTTTGCTGGAGAAAAATGCAGGGAGAGAAGGCCGAACAGGAGAACATGAAGGGAAAAGTGTCTTCCTTTTCCTTTGGGAAGGACAAGATGTGGAAAGCGTTGAAGATGATACCTTCAACGCGCACTTGCTGAGTCCCTTCCTTACTTCAGGCACTGCTATGGAGCAGTGGGTAAAACACAGTGCCTGCCTTCAGAGGGCTCAGATACCACTGGGATGCTGGGAAGACAGATGGTAAGCACACACATGACTTTATGATGACCGTTACTGATGACCGCTGTGATGAAAATCAGTCTGGGTATTGGGATAGCGAGCAGAGGAGAAGACAGGCAGGGAGGCCCAGAACAGCCTCTCTGGGAAACATGTGCAGAGCCCCGAATCTGACGCTGCAAGGAAAGAAAGGGGTGGGATGCATGGTCCTGAGGAACGGGCCCACAGGAGGGAAGGAGAAGTGTAAAGACCCCAGGCGAGAAGGAGACACAGACAGGGCTTCTGTGGCTGTAGCACTGGGGTTAAAAGCCGGGAGGAGGAGAGGATGTCAGACAAGGGAGGGCCACAGGAAGAACACTGCATCATCAAGAGCACGGGAAGCCGCTGGAGGGGCACCCGGGGAGGTGTGCTACGATCTGTCGCCAACTGAGGTTCCTCTGGGTGCTGTGTGAAAACCAGTCTGGCTGAAGCGTAGACAGAAGGGACTCTAGCCCGACAGAACTGAAAACCAAAACTAAACATGACTGGACACGACGGGGAAGAAATGTAAGAGACTAGACAGTAAGATTCCTGAGGACAGGGATTTGTGTCTGATGGATCGGGCATCTCCAGGTCCTAAAATCAATCGAGCTGGGCCTTCATGAAGAGGTTGTTGAATTAAACGAACAGGAGACTAAAGGGAATAACTTTTTATTTGTGAAACAAGACTCAGATGAAATGAACAAACCGCAGAGCTTCCGAATTCTCAAGGGCTCCGGAGCTGGTCTCTTAACTACAGTATATCAAAACACGGGACAGACTTCAGTCAAGGGTGAAATGCCATGACACTGGAACAGGGCTCAAATTTTAAGTTTAAAGGTAGCCACTTTGTTGTAAACTCCTTCTCACCCCTTGGACCGTGAGTTCCTATGTAGCAGGAACTTTGTTATTTTGAACTCTCCAGTAGCTGCAGAACATACTGAGGATATGTACTCCATAAACGTATTTTCAGGCTGTTGGATTTCTACTGAAGAAAAGCTAGCACGTAAGGCAATATGCTTACAGAAGAAAATTCGGACAACTTGGCAGCATTTATCATTACTAACATTTTAAGTCTTCCAGAGTAAACTTTGAAATTACATTCTAATTTGAAATGGCTCTGGTTTGACAAGTTAACTCTTGAGACATCTGAGTATAGTATTATGAAAGAACAAAACTGTTCATCAACCCTTTATGCCAATGTTAATTTCTTTAAAAAGCAGGATTTTAATGTTGTTTTATTCCTACAGTGACCCTTAAAATTTCTATGTACGCAATCACAAATGCACATACAAGCATTTATAAGCTTATTGTGTAGCTCCAAAGACAGTTGGGAAACCCAATTTTAATTTTGTTACTGAAATAATTTAAAAATATATTATAGAACTGCCTCTTTTCAATCAACAGCAAGAATCTAGAAAAAGATTATACAAGTAGGCACAATTTATTCAAGTTTATTAGTGTTACAAAAATGAAGTTGTGTAACTTCAAGTTGTAACAAGTATACTTTATTTAATTCTCCATCTGACTACTTGCATCAAAATATACCATTTTCTTATGCCTTAAAAGAAAGGCAGATCTTCACTCAATAATGATTCCTTATGCACATTAGCCATTAACATGCTAGAATCTGGAAAATACTTTCCAGCAACCATGTAAGATTTTCCAAAAATTTTTCTGAGACCATGTTTTAGAATTACCATCAGAGAGGGGGGACTTACCGGCTTTTATTCATAAGGTCTGCTCCTCGTGCTTTGTAATAATCCAAATTTGGATGGAACTGGTAAGTCACTGGTCTTGGGTTTCTCTAAAGAAAAAAAAAAAACAATAAATTAAAATGTATAAGGCTACCAAAATTAAAAAGTAACATATAAATGGACAGATGTGATACTTTTTACATTCCTTCAGAATAGAATATGTATAATAATGAAGTTTATTAATCAATGTGCTGGGGTTTTGCTTCTACCTTTTAAGTTCTTTTATAACTGATATTAGTTCTGATTAAACATTCAAACTGTTTAATATATTTTACTTTTCCCTGTCTCAGTTCACACAGATTATTCTTCTCATTAGATTTATTTGATGGCTTTAATCAATTTCAAATATAACTTGCAAAATATCAGATACATTTATGACACAACTAAAAAACTGTATGAGATGTAACACAAGAGCAAACTATTCAAAATAAATATAAAGGGCTGGGAGACCTAAGGTGTCAAGAAAGCCACATTTTGGTGGAAGAGCAAAAATCCCCTTAGTTTCGGATGGTCAGAATGCTACATATATCCACTAGATGGCACACCAAGTCTTTCTTCTCCCAAAATGAATGGCATCAAAATTCAGCAATTGCTTTAAAGTTAGCAATTTCTATCATCTAGTCTTATTTATGAGTTTAATAAGTACCCTAAACATGCCAGGTAGTAGAAATATTAGTAGGATAATCATTGTGACACAAAACCAAGTGGATCAATCCACGTTTTCATAAAAGCATTAATAACACTGCCCTTTCTGGCATTTAATATTTATAAACATTAGAGATATCCTTGAATCATTATCTTGGGTGTGTTTATTTCAAAGTTGCACTATTACCTAAGTGCATCAGGCTTCTCATGGGCAAATAAAAATTAACAAACACACTTCTATTTTATAAAAACTTAATGTTTACATATGTATGATTTCAATGAATACCATGATTTCAATGTATACTATAATCTCTAACATGTTAAAAATACATATATTTCCCATTTAAAAAGTTTTTTAAAATTTACAAATAAATGTGTTCTAATGTTTGCTTGAGCATATAATTCAAGTAATAATTAGGTCTTGGAACCAGAGTATACATTGTCCTTAGATACATTCTAGATGCAGAAAAACTACATTTTATCTAAATCGGCAATGACCAGTGCGCTTAGATACCAATCCCTGGAACCACAATCCTGAAGCTCTGGTAGACTTGCGTGTGGGCAGGAGGGAGAGGGGGCACATAATTGCTAAGGTTAAATAGTTTGAAATTCATCAAGCTAACAAGCAGCATCTTGATAGCCATGATGGACCTTTTCTTTTTCTGCTGAAAAGAGAGTATTTATACAGTTCAACCCTCTCGTATCTCTTCCACGCCAGCCCTAATCATCTGACAAAAACGACAATCCCTTGATTTAGCTCCAGCTACTACTCCACTGGTTTGGTATTCAACACAGTTCTATAATAATCAAATCTGAATTGCCTTGATGAAGATAACTGATGCTTCCATGACTACCATACTATTAAGTCTAGCAGTGCAACTTTTTCTCTCTCTAGGAATTACACAGGTTTCCGCATGGTAGTTGATGACAACCTGGACCCAAGTATAATGGGAAAATAAAATAGAGGTTAGAGACGCTGGCAGATTGACAAAGCGTTCATGATTTATTTTAAAAATGAACTTACATAGGACTATCATTCATGACTAATTTTGCTCTTTATTCTCAGTACCTGGAAATATGTTTTGTTTTTGTTAATATAAAAGGCTTTTCTTCTCAGACTTCCAATAAACTAATAAAGGATTATGTTACTTTTGCTAGAAAATAATGAAAGGGATCACATGGAGCCATTCCTTGAAATATCTTTATAAAGAAATAACAAGCAATTGAAGGCCTGGAGTGCCGATCTACTAGGCACTTAAAGCCATTATTTGGAAGAATGATCTACCTTGAACGTATGAACAAGGTTCAAGCATCACTTTCACTGAGGCCTATTTAAATTCCTAGGAGAATTGCTGCTAACCAAGGAGAGGCAGTTTAAGATACCATCGTCCTGGAAACAGTAACAACAAAATCACATCCAAAGGTGATGTTGAAAAACAGCATTTGAAACATTAACAAAATTGAGGTGACAGTTAAAAAGCTATTTCATAGGTTTTTCTGCTGTGATGTTGCTATTTCTAAAACAAATATGTGGACATACAAGTAATCTAGACTGGCAATGTTCAATGGAAATATGATGTGGGTCACAAACACAAACTTCATCTGTAATTTAAATTTTATTTAGTAATATTTTATTCAGTTAAAATATATTCAAAATATTATTATTTAAACATGTACTCAATATAAAACTTTACTGAGATACTTTACATTGCTTCTTTTGTACCACGTCTTTGGAATCCAGTGTGTATTTCATACTTATAACGCATCTCAATTTGAAATAGCCACACTTCAAATGCTGCAGTCACCTATGACTTGTGGTTACTGTACTAGGCAGGACAGAACTAAATGCCTGGCATACTTGTAAACCACTGCATGGTTGTAAGGAGCCACACGATGGACACAAAAGTCAAAAGGGTATGGATACTTTCATACATTAAGACTCAGTACTGGAGCAAGCATTTGGCACAATAGTTAAGATGCTACCTAGTACGCCAGGAATCTGTATCAGGGCCTGGCTTCAAGTCCTGTCTGTGTTTTAGATTCCAGCTTCCTGCTAATGCACACCCTGGGAGGCGGCAGCCTAAGTACTTGAGTCTTTGTCCTCACACGGGAGGCCTGGGTTAAGTTCTGAGCTTCTGGCTTTGGGCTGGCACTCAGGGAGTGAACCTGTAAATGGAAGCTCTCTTTCTCTCTTGTGTTTCTCTGTGTTTCAAATACAATGGAAATAAATTTAATAGATCATTTTATGAACTCAGTACTAATGGTTCTTTAATTTACCTATAATTCTCTTTTAATTAATTTAGTTTTATCAGTTTTATTTCTTCCGAATGAGGTTTTAAGAAGTCAAGAAATTTTGGAATACCTGCTCTACAAACAAAAGAAACAAAACTAATAGGTTCAAATCCCTGTCCATAGAAGTGTCCATTTACAAGCAAATGGACAGACAAGCAGGACTATGTATCAACTAGAACATTTTCCTTAAGGGGATGAATGAGCAGAATTTTAATTTTATGTAACTTAAAAAATATTTATTGTTCTTATTTTAAAGGATCTTTTCCCAAATAAAACAATATTTTTAAAGATTTATTTATTTATTTATTTTGAAAGTCAGAGAGAGAGAGAGAGAGAGAGCTTTTTCATCTTTTCATCCGCTGGCTCATTCCCCAGATGGCTGCAACCCCAGGGCAGGACCAGACCGAAGCCAGGAGCCAGAGCTTCCTCTGGGTCTCCCATGTAGGTGGCTGGGGCTCAAACACTTGGGCCATCTTCTTTCTGCTGCTTTTCTCAGGTCATTATCAAGGAGCTGAATCAGAAGTGGAGCAGCTGGGACACAAACCGGCACCCTTATGGGATGCTGGCATTGTAGGCAGTGGCTTTACCTGCTACCCCACAGTACCAGCTGCTTGAATAAAACTTTCAATACAAATAATAGCTCTGCTGTCTAACCTTTAAGATATGGAACATCCTCTAAAATATGAGCATACTTCAAAAAGTTAATGGAAAATGGAATTAAATGATGTTTATTTTGGTGCAATTTTTTAAAATTCTTGCCAAGATTTTTCACTGTGCATTCCCACAAGCTTGCTGAAGACATTCTTATAGAAGCTATAGAATTCTGCACATGTAAACCAAGAGCTAACGCCTGTAATTCCTCATGGTGCAGAACAATGTGTCAACTGTATGTCCTCTTCCGTACTGGAACAATGCATAATTGTCTTAAATACATTTTCACACAGTCAGGATTTCAGCTATTGTGCTTCCAAACCAAAATAAATTTTTAAGAAATGCTTTTATGTCAATTACTTTTCCTTTGGAAGAAAGATAGCAAAATGATAATTGTATCTTATACTGGTCTATATACAGAATATCAATGACATCCCATGACCTGGCAAATCTATGACTCTACATATAAACACGCAGAAATCACAAACTTCAGCCCATCCTGTGTTTACTATGCCTTTTCTGCATCAACCGGAGGGAACTTGAAATCAATTTTATCCTCTGCAAGATTTCAGCTACTTAATGTAGCAAGTGACATTCAACTTTGCTCATTTAGAAGTTGTTATCTTTTTTTTAAAGATTTATTTGTTTCAAAGGCAGAGTATTAAAGAGAGAGAGAGAGAGAGAGAGAGAGAGAGATTTTTTCCACCCACTGGTTCACTTCCTAAATGGCTGCAACAGCCAGGACTGGGCCAGGGCACAGCCAAGAGCCAGGAACTTCCCTGTAGTCTCCTACATGGGAGGTAGGGGCCAATGTACTTGGGCATCTTTCATGGTCTTTCCAGGAACATTAGCAGGGAGCTGGTTTGGAACTGAAGCAGATGGTACTCAAATTGGCACTCTGATATTGGATGCCAGTGTCACAAAAAGTGACAATTTGCTGTGTCATAAAAGTGGCCCCATGTTGGAGTTCTTTTAAAGTTTTCTCTTCATAATTTTATTTTACGGTCAGAAAATAAGAACAATGTTGAAACTCTATCCACTGCACAGACAGGCTGGATTTGGGGGGGCACTGTATAAAGTCTTGTGGACAAAGTGGTTTATAGGAACAGAACTGATGTTGGTAGAAACTACAGTCCTAGAAGGAAATTTATGAAAAAAACAAAACAAAACAAATCCAACATAATAAAACAAAACCCATGCTGTGCTTTGACTTTCCAAAATGCTTTGGTTAATTTAGCATGATCATAAAATCAATTTACAAATAGTGCTTAAATGATAGCAATCAATGTAAGGGATAAAACTGAAATCAATTTAACCTGTTACAGTTACTGGTCTTCACTTCTGAGGTGTATATCCTATGACAATAACCTGCCCCTAATGTCATTTCAGGCAGAACACACATGCTGTCGCAGAGTGAGTATGAACAGTGAATGGATGCCTTTGGCCATCCTCTTCAACTGAA